TTCTTTTTTTTTTTTGCTTCCTCTTCCTGTTGGACGTCCCAGTCCACTTCTCGTTGGATATCTGCAAGGAGAAGGCTCTTCAGAGTCTACTATGCTGCAACACGGTTTTGGGATCTCAAGTTTCTCCTTTAACATAATGTTTTTCCCCATTTCATAGCAAATCAGTTTGCCCTCACTGGAGCCTAACAACCAACAAACACCAGTCTCAACTTCTGGGCTGCCCACCTCTTTCCCAAGGGCTTCCAGGCCAGCTTTGGTGACTGTCCCCTGTCAGGGCCTTCAACATCTAGAGCCTTAGGGCATTTCATCTCAGACCCTCTTGGAGAAAAACTCCAGCCTCACTCATCCCCAGGCTTTGGTGAACTTTCACTTTTATTTTCCCTGGAGCTGTTAACGCCCAAACGTTTCACCTCCAAAGTCGAAAAGGACTTGGATTCTACATCACTTCCTACTTCCAACGTCAGTTAAAAAAAAAAAAAAAACTTTACATTTTCCTTAAGGATATTTTTAATACCCCAGACAAACCTATAGTATTTGTTTTCTTGGATAAAACGCCTTCTTGGCATATTTAACCTAGTGGGACTTTACATTCAATGACAGGATTCACTGTCATTAAACAAAAAAGGGAGGGGAGCCGCTGTGGGTTAGCCTCCCTGTTGGATGGCCCAGCCTCTCCGCTTCCCCAGGTTCTCTCAGAGCAAGAGGGGTGAGCCTTCTTTCGGACCAGTCGTGTCTTTTCCCACCCCAGTGCGCCAACTTCATCAGAGGCTTAACCACTGAGCCCCCCGTCCTTGTGTCCATAGTCCTCCCCTCCCGGACCCCATCTTCAGGACTTCTGGCTCACACTTTTTCTGGGCCTCTCCCCATCCCCGCCCCCCAAGTGGGCTTTCCTTCCGCCTTCCCCGGCTCAGATTCCGGACTGGGTTGCCACCCCCTTCCCCTCCTCTCCCGGTCCGCATTGTCTTTCGGAACCCGCCCCCTCCAGGAGCGAGGCCCGCACCGTCCGGGCGCCCGGCTCGCACGCCGCGCACAGGCCGCACCCCGCGCGCCTCCCGCGGCCCCGGCCCGCCCCGCTCCCTCTCCCGGCGCCCAAAGGATCATTGTTGGCCGCCCCCGCCCCGCCCACCCCGGCTGTTTATTTATGCACACGTCACCGGAGAGGCCCCGCCCCCTGGCATCTCATTAAGGCGAGTGTGTTCCTCTCGCCCTGTCAATAATCTCCGCTCCCAGACTACTCCGTTCCTCCGGATTTCGATCCCCCTTTTTCTATCTGTCAATCAGCGCCGCCTTTGAACTGAAAAGCTCAGTCTAACTTCAACTCACTCAAATCCGAGCGGCACGAGCTCCTTCGGTGTCTTCGGCTTCCCCCCCCCCGGTGCGGGGGGGGGGGGCTGGGGCTTGTTGTTGTTGTTTTTTTTTACCCCCCTTTTTTATTTATTATTTTTTTTTTTGCACATTGATCGGATCCTTGGGAACGAGAGAAAAAAAGAAACCCAAACTCACGCGTGCAGAAGATCTCCCCCCTTCCCCTCCCCTCCTCCCTCTTTTCCCCTCCCCAGGAGAGAAAGACCCCAAAGCAGGAAAAAAAGTTAACCTTGGACTCGTCTTTTTCTTGCAGAATTTTTTTTGGGGGGGGACTCGCAAAACTTTTTTTTTTTTTGCTTTTCTTCCTCCTTCATTTTTCTTCCAAAATTGCTGCTGGTGGGTGAAAAAAAAGATGCCGCAGCTGAACGGCGGTGGAGGAGATGACCTAGGCGCTAACGACGAGCTGATCTCCTTCAAAGACGAAGGCGAGCAGGAGGAGAAGAACTCGGAAAACTCCTCGGCGGAAAGGGATTTAGCCGATGTCAAGTCCTCGCTGGTCAATGAATCAGAGACGAATCAAAACAGCTCCTCCGATTCCGAGGTAGGAAGAGCCCCTCGGGCTGGCGGGCGGCTCCAGCCGGTTCCCGGGCCAGGAGAGCCGGGCTGGAAGGCGAGGCGAGGCGGGTCGGGCTTGCGGGCGGCGCGGACGGTGGCCCGGGCTGCCGGCTGCGAAAACTTATAACCGTGTTTTTTTTCTGCACCCCTTTCTCCTCCGCCGACCCTCCCTCCCCGCACCCCCTCGGCGCGGCTATCACCCCTCTCCCTCCCCACCTCACCCCTCCGGGAAGGCGGAAAGACGGCCTCCGCCTCGCTCCGAAAGTTTCCGAGATAAATCCCGGGAAAGTTTGGAAGAAGGTGAGTGCGCCCCGTGCGCCCCCAAAGCCGCGCGATCGCGTCCCCCTCCCCCTCCCCGGGGTCGGCCTGGAGGGTACCCTCGCCACACTCCTTACCCACCCTACCCTGTGAGCCCCGGGGACGCGCGCGGGCCCTCGGGGGGACACTTGCTAAAAAGTTTCTCCCGCTCTCTCCCGCGCCGCGCGGCCGCCGCCGTCCCCTCCGCCGCCCCGCCATGTTAGCGGCCAAGAGGCAAGATGGAGGGCTCTTTAAGGGGCCACCGTATCCCGGCTACCCCTTCATCATGATCCCCGACCTGACGAGCCCCTACCTCCCCAACGGATCGCTCTCGCCCACCGCCCGAACCGTAAGTGCCACCGCGCTCCCCGCCCTGCCCGCCTGCCGGCCCCGCATGCCCTGCCCCTCCCCCGCCCCGCCCCTCCCCCCTCCCCTCCCCCCCATCGCGGCCCGAACTCTCCAAACTTTTTTTCTCTGCCTTTTGTGGACTGGGTTTGTTTGCGCTTCGCCATGTTCTGGCTTTTCTTGTGCTTGCCTCGCGATTCGGGGAGACTTTTTTTTTTTTAAATCTCAGGCAGGGCTCTGTTGGGGTGCCAATCTGAACTTTTAATTTTTCTTCTCCCTCTCCCTCTCCCTCTCTCTCTCTCTCTCTCTCTCTCTCTCTCTCTCTCTCTCTCTCTCTCTTAAAAGCTCTGATTTCCCCTCCCCCCTTGCTGGTGGTGTTTGTTTCTTGTCCCTGGGAAGGGGACTGTGTGGCTCTTTCTTCTCCCTCTCTTCCTTCCCTCTTCTGTGCGTCTTGGGCTTTCCTCAGGTTAACCCCTTGGCTGCTGGCGGCTGGGAGGCCCGGTAGGGCCGCGCGGGTTCCCGGTGCCTTTGGCTCCAGGAGCCGCGGTGCTGAGCGCGCAGCCTCGGCCCTGCGGAAGCGCCCGCCTCTGGCCCCAGCCAGTCATTTTAGCTTTCTAGTGGCGATCGCAGGCTCCAGGGCCTCTTGGCCCCTTCTTCCTTGGGAAGGTCACGCTTGCCAGGCTTGGTCCCCTCGCAGGCCCGGGGGCCCTGGGCGTGCATTTTCTCTGCAGACCCGGCAGGGCTGGCTGCCCCACGCTGCGAGCTGTGCGTGGCGGGGAGGCCCGTGTGTCAGGGCTTCTGGATTTGCGTGTAGTCAGGGTGGCCTGTAGAGTGGACTTTTGTGTCAAAGGAAATTCGGTGCCTTCGGATGGGGTGTGGAGGCCTTCCTTTCACTGACCAGCTCCCTGTAGGCCCCTAGGGCGCAGGCAGAGGTTAGGGTGAGCGCTTTCGAGGAGGTGTAGGAGGCTGGGGGATGCCTCCCTTTCTGGAGATCGGCCACCCAACTTTGGAGGGCCCAGGGCAGCGCGGGGTGCCAGGCTCCCCGGGTGCTCTCTGCGGAGAGCGCACCTCCGGCACTGACCGCAGACATTTGTTCCTGCTCGTCCCCTCTTCGGGGGCCTCTGCCTTCTTCTCGCACACTGTCCCCTGCCTCCTCCCTTTCCCCCTAAAAAGCTTGGATTGCGAAGCTCTAGACACACAAGGAGCGTTAGTGCCCGGCTTCCCGGGGTTGTCACTTTGCACTTCTGGCCGCGGTCCCTACCTCGTGTTTACACACACTAGTTTTGTTTTTCTTTCTTTCGCTTATTCAAGGTGACAATCTGAAATAATATGCCTACTATTGAGCAGTGCTGGGATTGGATCAGTCAGATCTACAAGTGTTTTTAAGCATTAAAATATTAACTATCAGGTTTGACTTGTTCCCCCCACCCCCGGCCCCCGGGCTCAGGTAGAATGGCAAAAGCACGCTAGACCGGTAATTTTTTTTTTAAATGGCTAGGACAGAAACAATCACACCCCCTCCCCAGAGCCCGTGCCTTCCATGGAAGCCGGGACAGAGGTACAGTCCGACCTCGTCCAGTAGGGCCCGCGCTTTCCGGAGGCTTCTGGGCGGCCTCAGAAGCAGCGCCTGGTGTTTTTCTTGGTAGCTAGTGGGATCTTAAAGAATCGGCATGTTAGCAAACTGGACCCAGCAACATTCCAAAGTAATCCTGGGAGTTTCCTCCTCCCCTCCTCCCTTTCTTTTTAAAAACGCAGACCTTCTTCGCTTTATTTTAAAATCCACTTAGCCACCCGAAAGATCATCCGAATATTGAGCTTTGATGGCAGGCGTGTTGGCTTTCTTGACCCTTTGCAAACTGCATGTCCATGACCGCTGGCGATCTTGCCACACCATCGCTCCAAACTCACACAGTTGTGTTGTGATGTAATTAGGAAACGGGGAAATTGTGAAAAGCAAATAAATGATTTCCCGGTGAGACAAGGAAGGTTCCCAACCTAAAGACCCCTTTGTGGGCTTTGTAGGAAGAGACAGCATCTAGTTATTTTAATTGTGGACATAGCGGGTGGCCCTGTGCTGTGACATCAGATTGACTCCGAGAAAGCATTTCTGAACCCAGTAGGCTGTTATGTTAGTATTTGCGGGTCAAACATCAGCAGATATCTTTGTGCATACTGCCTCTTCTTACTCTTTTCTTTCCCTTACCTGGTTAAGCTGTATGCTCTGAAATTGAAGTTATTTATTTAGGCTGCCGAGTGAAGCCTTGGCAAGGAGCTGAGAGGAGGGTGTATGTCCCTCTAGACGCCTTTGGATGCTAGGGCCAGCTTGCAATTCCAGATTTCATACAGCCCGGGGTGGAACCTACAGGCAAGCCAGCAGTTCCAGGTCTGAAATTCTCAGGGCTTCATAGGGTCTGGTTTTGAGTGTGAGTTGTAAAGACAAATTAGGGGTAAGCTCATTCATTCTCTTCCGTTCCTCCTGGCTGGGGTGCTTTTTGCTCTATTTTCTGTTATTTATGACCAAAACCGGCTAAGATTCTCTGGAACCTTGTTTTCTGCAATTCTACTTAAGAATGTAAAGAATTAAGAAGTATCACGAAATCGACTTTTGATGAATCATCTCTAGATGACACATCATCTCTAGAACAATCTTTTAATTGCCGAAGAATCTGTAAAAGCTTGACAGTAATGATTTTTACTTTAGAAGGACAAAGATTTCCTCAGAACATTAATTTATAATTTTTGGTACATTAATAGAAATGGCTTATGAACAGGATACATTCAGATAGAAAAATACATTAAGGAGGAGTCTATCCGAGAGGCTGGGAAGGGCTGAAAGTGTCAATATTAGGGCTTTGGCAATGTTCATGTTCCAGAGAATATGGTAACAGTATTAAAGTTGACAGGAGAGGTAGTTTTACTTTTCTTCTTTTCCTTGTAGCACACAAGAAGAAGCAGGGGTGCAGTGGTGGGCACTGTGATGTGGTACGTGTGTGTGTGTGTGTGTGTGTGTGTGTGTGTGAGAGAGAGTGAGAGAGAGAGAGAGAGAGAGAGAGAGAGAGAGGGAGAGAGAGAGAGAGTTCGTTTTAAGGGTACTCTCTACAGTTTCATCTACCCAAGGGTATTTGCTTTTCGGTGGAGCTGCTTGCTACTAGGTTCAGCAGATAAGTGAGCAGCATCTTGAATTCATTTCTGATCTTGGAATGAAGCAGGAAACCGAGAGGGAGCCTATTCATTAGAGAGGAGGTTTTATTTAGCCCGGCAACTCCTTTTTTTCTGGCTTGCCCGAAAAAAAAAATGGATGTTTTCTCCTCACTCAAACAACATAATCCTTCCTGACACAAAAGATTGAGACCCTGGTGTGTGAAGGGTTAATGCTGGACCTTCCCTGTTGTCTTCCCCCCCCTTCACCCCTGATTGTTTTGACAACACTTCAAAGTGTGACATTCCAAGCCCCTCCATAACAATGTAATATTACTGTAATTACACAGGTCATTACATTTTAAATAGAGAACAATAAAATCCTTATCGCCTTGAAGAAGAACAGGTGCTCCCAGACTTCGTTAGTATTTATGCTAATTGTTTTCCTGTCCTTCAGAAATATTTATGGCAGACATGTTTAGATTTTAATCTCTGCAGCACGGCTTCTGTGCTAATCTTCATAAGTTAGGGTTTAATGTTTGGGCTCAGCATTCAGCCAGTAAGTCATATTTTAATGATTATAAATTTAATATACTAGTGCTTTGCAGTTTGAGGATATTAAGGCTTCCTGAAGCCCCAGAAACAAATGTAGCATTTGGGAGTCTAAACGTCTCATCTAGGAGAATTGGTTTGGGGGACTCTGCTCCTGCTTTGGGGACACCAGCTTTGACAGCTGTGCTTTACCTTAGATGTTTAAAAGATTTTGAGAACCACCATGTTGGAGTTTTCCACCCCAGTTTTCCTTTTTCTGAGAGGGGTTGCCTTTGGAGTTGCTGCTGGCTGTTGGCTACCTTTCTGTTTCTTAGCAAGCTGTGGAAAAGTGACAGGAAGGTTTCCTAGAGTAACACCAAGAATGGTGCTCTCCGTTAGTGGCACAGGACCACTGCAATTCTACAATGACGTTAAAAAAAGGAGGGGGGACTGCTTTAGACAGAGTGCTGGAAAACTGGCATTCTGTGGTCGTAGCACAGGCTGTGCTTTTCAAGATCTGAGCACCTTCTCATATCCCACAAGGTACTCAGGTGCACATAGAGACTGGCTTTAGAGCCAACCTGAGAAGCCCTCCGGCCTCCCTCACACAGGCACAGTGGGCAGAGGAGAAGGCTTCCGAGAGGATTTTTGCGTTTTGTCAGATGTTACTCAACAGGAGCTCCCGAATCAGACTAAAATGCACTGCTGAGAAAGGACAGCTGCAAATTTTTGTGTGGATGCGTGTTTAGGACCGTGACTAAAAACTCCCGAGGACCTTTCCCCCAGCTGTCTGGAAGTTATGTGGAAGTTGGTTTATTGGCAGTTAAGTATGGGACAACCTGGATTTAGCAGATGCTTTCTCCTGCACAGGAAGTAGATGACGTTGTATTGGGGGCAGGGAAGAGACTAGACAGGGAGTGATTTACTCCCTTAAAAAAATATCTTGGAGTTGCCAAGTAAGTACGCTTCCAAGGAGGTGGGTGTTAGCCTCTTAGTCCTGGTGGGAGGAGAATTTGATGATATTTTTGACCACACTTATAACGTTGCCGACACATTTCAACATTTTGAAAAGGACGACTGACCAAGATTCTCCACGGTTTTGTTTTGGAGTGTGTGTGTGTGTGTGTGGTGTGTGGTGTGTGTGTGTGTGTGTAAGTTTATTAAGGAAGTAGATGTTGGCAACCATGTAAGTAAATCTTCAACTCGGATTTACAGTTGAGCACGTTTGTGAAGGAAATGGTTAATTTTACAACCAAAGACAGACTTGCGCCTCAACAGGCCTGCTGAAAGAAATGTGCCCCAGTCCTTCCCTGGCAAGCTCCCCGCGTCATAAAT